ATACTAAAATTGCTTTTATGTAGTGCAAGGTAGACAAGAATGAGGTAATGTAACAGGTCTGAAAAAGGAGGGGGTAGGTAAAAGAAAAGCAGAATTAAATCACAGATAGCATCCTGAAAAGAATACATTACAAAAAGGTGATTGAAAATAATTCCTCAAGCCTTGACTATTACCAGTTATTTTTTGAACTGCAACATGAAATTTTATATTGACATTATTTTGAACTGTTATTCAAAGGCAGTTCTAAAAATGTTACATCTGTATTTAGATCACTACGACTTTCTATTAGCAAGTTTTGCAGCAACAAGTGCTTGTTATTCTTTTCTTCCTTTATCTGGCATTTTTTTTCGCTTGGCGTCTTTTTTCGTAAAATACAAGGTATCTCAGAAAAACTGAAAGATACAGCAAGGTTACGATTGCATTTTATGCCTCTGGGGTGGTTAAGGCTGGGCTAAGGCTAACAGACCCCACTGCAATGTTACAGCATTAGTACTGCTTGCTTGCAAGATAAAAAAAATCAGTTCAAATGGTACAAACTCAATGGAAGATTGCAGATCCAAAAATGTATTTTCATTTCACATTGGCACCAACACTAAGAGACACTGTACAACAAAAAAGTGTACTTATCCATAGCAGTCTACAGAAACTCCTCTTTGCTTCAGTACAGCTTGTTGCTGCTTCGTAACAGCACTTTAAATATGGTCAGTGGGCAATGACTATTTGAGATACCAACTGCTTACCACAGTTTAACAACCACCACCCCCCCCTTTTTTTAAGAAACCCAACAATTGCCAGAAGTATTTATCTACTTACTTGACTTGCTTTAGGCAAAGTCTTCGGCTGTGGAAATACTTCTGGTTCCTTGTTTTGTTGTACAGGCTAAGTTAAAAAGAAAGCATAATTCACAAGTTAGCATCCACACTTCAATTTCCAATGGTGAATGAAAGCACAAAAATGCAAATGTCAACAGATTTTAGATGTAATTTGATCCATTTTGTAAAACTGATACAATCAATGGGAGGCTGGAAAAGAAGGAAACATTCATGTTTTATGCTTTCAATATTACAGTAAACCTGTAAAGCCACAACAAAGCACTTCTGAAGAAAGACTACTACAATTAAAAAAAATCTGTAAATGTTAAACCACTGAAACTGGGAACAAAACAAATGCTACGAAGTGAAGAGTTCAGTACCTTATAATCAATCTGATAAATTGCCAGGAATGTTAAATTCACTATTTTTTGTAGGAGTTTTATCTAATCACCTCCACAAAAATGAAATGCTGTTTTCTGCTAGAATTTCAGAAGCATTTTATACCTTTAGAAACAGCATCCAGATATTTATTTAGTCAGATTTCAAGACTGTAATATAATAAAATTCAAGTATCATAAAATATTAGAAAACCCAATAAGAGGCACGTAGATAAGGTACTTCAGTAAATTCCTGGGGCATTCTTTGAAAGGCTTGTTATAGCCACTTGGAACACCTCTTGGCAACACAGAGCAGCAAAAAATACCTTTGCAACAGACAATACTCAGCTTATTTGAACTGCAATAAAAACACTCAGGAAATTGATAGTCCTTAATGACAAAAATAAAATCAGTTTTATGAAGTGGTAACTATCACAAGACCAAATTCTTCAAGTCTACTTACACAAGAGGTAAGTAGTCTTCTGCTACTTTGAGAGTATGTTTGGACTATGATGAATTTTGTCTAATGAAAATATGTACATGCAGCAGACATGGTGGAAGGAAAAAAGGGGTGTAAGACTGTCACGTGAAGAGCTAAGTCCCTGTCAAGCAGACCTTGAATAACTGCACTCAAGGGCAGTTATGCATAAACCCAGCCAGCTTTTCTAAATGCTCAAAGATGTCACAACCCTCAGTCAAATCTGTACAAAGTTTAGTCGCACACAAAAGAAAAATACTGCTCAGAATGCACAGTTCTTCAATACTATATCAAGATAGCTGCTCAATGCTGTACTTGGACCTCCTCCTCGCTCTGCAAAATGAATCAGTCCATACATCTCAAAAAGGTGATCGCTAGTAAAATAAGCCTTAACATGTAGCAGTCATAGCATTCTTGAAAATTTTCAACAATAGCAGTCAATTAGAAATAAGGTATTTAGAAAGACAGCACAATGAAAACACACCCATTTCTTAAGACAGGGATAACTCTTTTGAGGACAGAAAAACACCACTTGAAAAATACAGGGTACTCTAAAATAATGCTCAGGATCAAGATACAGACTGAAGAGTTGCGCTTTGGACTAGATCTCTGTTATGAGTAAGTCATCACCATATTCATAGCAAAGAGTAGCAGCTGACCCAGACAGGGCTACCAAAGATCTTGTTAAAACCCAGTGGCAAGCACTGGATAATAGTAAGCATTCGGAAATTCATGCAGATGAAGCTGTAAGTAGTTTTGTTTGGTGTTTTTTATTCTTGCATTATCACTGTACCCAAGATGCAAGAAGGCACGATCAAACACTGGCTTGGTGCGCATGACTAAAATAAAATAATAATGCAACAAAAAAAAGCGAAGTCTTTGGATAACCTCAGAGGTGGGCACTACAGAAAGTTACACCCTTTGGAGAAAAAAAGAAATCCAATAACCCAAACTCAGTGATGTCTTTACTGCTGAGGTACCCAATTATACAGCAGAGCAACACTAATTGATAGAAAGTAATTTATAACGCAAAGCCACATTCATTAACCTTACAGACTAGCAGTGACATTTTCACCTAGTCTCTCAAAACAAATTTACCGCTTTGGCTTATATTAAGGCATAGACGATAGACTCTCCTCCAAGAAATAAAAAGTTTAAGAGGTCCTTTGTAAGCGATACTAGGATCAAACAAACCAAGGTGGTCAATTAGATAAAATAAATCAGTTTACGAGCTAATTTACTAAATAACTAACAGGGTATCCCCAGCAGAAAGGGCTTAAAATTGAAGTAGTACAAAACATCCAAAGCAAAACAGCTAGAAACAGGAAATTGTTAATTTTGTATCTTCAAAGATGGTACAGGCTAGACTTCCACAGCATCAACTCTCACAACAGCGATCAGTCTTCTGTCCCTTCTCAGATCATCAGTTCTTAGCAGCATTTTTGACACAAGACAGATCAATTCTTTAGGACTTACTTATACCCTAACAGTACCATACAGTACTCCCTATGAAAAACCTCCTCCTCTACACACAGGTCTGTCACTGACAGCAGATGCAAATGATGTAAAACTAATGGAATTGGATTTCTAAGGTAGCAATTCAATCAATATCATCCAGGGGAAATCCTCTGTTGTTTTAAAAAGGCTAATATGTAACAGCACATTTTCCAAGGAAAAACACTTGTAAGTCTAAAAACAGTCTAATGCTTCATGGATATGAAAACCCACAGAATACCTGAAGGGGAGTGATTATCTTGCTGTTCAAGGCTGATGGCTTACTGTGAGATTCTTTGAAGCTTTCTGGTGTTGCAAGTTGGCCAACCGAGGCAGAGATGTTTGGTGTTAAGGAAGTCTTAGTGAGAGACTGCTGTTGCATTTGGTCATGCTGTGGGGTCAACCTGAGCTTCTGGAGAAGATCAACACTTGTATGGGATGTATTTGAGACAGTTCCTGTATTTGTTGACGTCAAGGGTGCTATAAGCTGACTTTGGCCAGCCATGAGATTTTGTGGAGCATGGTTCACTTCAGACGGCAGCTGATTCACTAGTGGGGATATCTGCTTGGCAGCTTGCTGCATAACTTGCATTATACTGTTGTTTTGTTTTAGGCCAGGAAGCATCTGAGCAGGGGCAGCTTCCACTGTCGAGGCTGAATTAAGAATAGGGCTTAAACAAACTGAATAGCTTGAAACATTTTTTACATCAGGCTGGGAAACTGAAGCTGGAGCAAAGGAATGAAACTGGTTTTGATGCTTGGACTTTCAGATTTCCCTAATGATTGTTGTATTGCTGTTGACTGGTCAAAGGAAAAAGGCAAGAGCAAACTGGGTTGCTCTCTGGCAGAGGTGTCAGTCTGCAACTTCTCCATTCTCTCTGGATTGGGACATGGAGCTGCAAGCTGTTCCTTTGGTACAGAAGTTCCAAACAGTTCCTCCAAAGTCAGATGCTTCTGCCTTGACTGAAGTGGCTAGAAAGGGAAAAGGAACTTTTCAGTTTAGAAATATACATACCACAGTGCATCTCACAGTCTATTACAATTTCAAGCAAACTACGAAAGAAAACTAGGTCAAATGCATTTAAAATACAGTTTGGATATCAGGTGTACCCTGTTCACAGGAATTTTGAAATCCAATTTCATTCACGAGGAGCATCCTGTCTATGTAAGCATTTTGTCTCCATTCTTCTACGGAGAGACTGTACACTCGTAGTAAAGAAGAGGGAAGGCTATGGATTCTGTTGTCACAATGGCACCTGTCACCATCGATCAGCCCTAACTACACAAGGCACTTCAGGGCCAGGGGGAGAACATACAGGTTGAACAAAATCCACATAAGAATTTATAGAGTTGGAAATAATTAAAAGGCCTAGAAGATGGGAAAGGAGTAGAGAAACCTGAAGGTACGCATATATCTCCTTGAAAAGCATATATATACACACAGAGTTACATCTACCAGTCTTTTAGGCTCCCCCAAAATCATACATCTAGCCCACACCACTGACATTGCTAGGAAAATCTGATTTTAAGGATATAATCTTCTCAATATTTTGCTGAAAATATTTAGAAGTGTGTTTCACTAAAGAGAAAAGAAACAGCTATTAACACCCTTTATCTCAAAAATTGCCTTTTTTTCTTTTTTTTAAGGCTGCACAAGACCAGAAGTTACATAAAACAGCTGGGCTAAAACATAACATTCTGTTCAGAAGGCTGAATGGCCTGCAGCACAATTCCACTGCATTCTGATGGTATGTCTAAACAAAGATGCTATTTTACAATGACAACTAATGTGCCATGACATTGCTACGCTAGCTCTAATTTTACTAGCACAGGCAACAGCAGTGAAGGTATGGCAGTACAGGTAGCATGCAAGCAGCCTAACAAAAAAGCCCTTTAGCTTCAAATCATATTGACTTCTGCCCAGGTTACTAATCTCCATTGCCATTGTTGTTACTCATTTTTAGCTAGCTTTAAGTCAGGCACACTTTCATTTTGCAGCTGAGACATTCTATAGTTTATAAACCTTATTAATTATGGTAGCAATTCTTCCTAGAAAGTTGTTCTTACTTTTTTCCACTGATCTTACTGTTCCAGAGACCTGTCCTTCAGCTGTAAAGACTCTGTTAAGAGAAAAACCACTATTCCATCTCATTTCAATCTCAGCTTTTCACTTCATCATGATAAACTGACTAGCTCTCCTTTATTAATAAATTATTATATTCAAGTAATAAGCAGAAATCTCTATCATGCTCTGATCCAAAACAGACTAGCCCCTTATGTGGATACAGTCTCAAACATGAAGGTAATTTTCCAGCCTGAAGTAGAAAACACATTTTTTGCCTGTCTCATCTCTGGCTAAGGTATATTTTGAGTATTTTATCAACCCAGTGTGTTATGAAGACCCTTATCAGCAGGGGCTGCAAAAAGCAACATGATCACATTACTTGACAGGAACTGAGTGCTGCCCAGATGGTTTCTCCAGAAATCATTTCAGATATATTGAAACATGAATTAGCAGTCAGAGCTGGCACTATAAAGTTTAATTTCAGTGTTCCGATTCAGTTTTGCTGATTGCTGGCACAAAAGCATTTCATGACACAACTGATTTTCATTTTGAACTGCCAAGATAAAAAACTTGAACTTCAGAATATCAGAGAAGACATTTATTTTAATTCCCAAATCTGCGATATCTTTAGCATGAAATGAAGTTAGAAAATCAACATACAAGTGTGACATTTTGGAGGCGGTTTAGCAAACTCACCACACTTCTCATACGTACACTATTTTTTAATTTCAGTGGTCACCTGTTTTGATTTGATAAAAAAAAAAAAGTACTTTTGCAGGTTAAACGGAATGTTTTGCCAGGAGTCTTCCAGTTATCCATGTTATTAAAAATCCGATTAAGAACACATTTATTATATATTTGAACCCAGTTCATTAGCTTTACAGAATTATCACTTAAGTTACCCAGTTTTTTTGTTTTTTCCAACATCTCTGCAGCTATTATTTTAAATAGCTCAACAGAGTTTAAAATATGTTATTTCACCTGTTCTATAAATTGACTATTTCCCTTTAATTACTTCAGAGGAATTTGTTAGAATCTTATCTTTCCAATTTTATCATGCAATTCCATGCACTGTCAGGTGGGGCACTTCAGCTGACTGTGTACAGCCTACATCAAGTGAGCCAAAAGAAAATACCTTCTTTTAAAACAAAGCCTCAGCAACCCCGCTGACCAGGCATGCAGCAAGCAGACCTGGCTACTGGCGCCAGTCTATCCCCGGTGCTGAACCAAAAGCAGAGGGGGCTGTCACAACCAACAATCCCAGCGAACTCCGCACCCCTGTATTTACTTACTACTACTACTACAAAGTACTTTGTTTACAAGCACTAAGTGCAAGGTTGCATACGCTTTCACAGGGCATTTTGATTGTCAGACAGAGATTTGTTGCATCAGAAACACAACAGCAGACCTGCAGCTGACCTCAGCAGAACATCTTCTGAGAACCACTGCTGACCTTGCCGTGCCCACCGGGTGGCACTGTAAGCAGGCCCACATTACTTGGGAGTGGAGGGAATTTAGCTATTGCAGAATTTTTTTTTTTTTCCTAAGTTTATCTCTAAGAAGTCCTGTAGGAAGCTACAGCTTCCTTGTGCAGAAATGCTTACTAGAAAATGGAGCCAAATACAGAACTATTGATACCTACTCCAGCACCTCCAGTGGTGATACTAAGTATTTTGTAACAAGTTTCCTGTAGCTCAAAGACAACATTTACACGAGGCAGAGGTTATTTTCACTAGCATTTTTACTGTGGTTTAAACTTTAATAACAGGAGTAACACCAAGTTTTACAATTTGTAGATTATTTGGATACATGCTGATTCAATGTGCTGTATTTAACACTTACCCGAAATAGATCTCAACACTGGTATTGACACAATTTGAGCAACATCCCTCCCAAAAAACACTGAATTTTTTTTTTTTTTTTAACAGTAATTCCCTTCCTGCAGAGGAAGGAATATACTGTGAAAAAGTTCTTAACACAGGAAAAAAACCCTCAAACAACGCTCCTCCCCTGCCTCCAAGAAAACACACCCCCCCGAAGCAAACCAACACAAAACCATGCACACTTTTCCCACAATCTAAGTACACAGGAATCAGCCAAGCTGACTGATACCGTTACCAAACGGTCATACAAGCAGCAGTTCAATGCAAACTACAGAAGTGGTTTGGGAGAAGATAGGTAAACACATTTTCAGTTATGCCAAAGAGAATTCAATGCTGCCATAACTGAAGAGCCTTCCATTTCATGTCTAGCAATTCACTGTTGATTTAAGTTAGCAGGACCATAGCTACAGCTTTGAAATCAACACAGATAAACCTTAAGTGTCTGAAACACAACAGGGCTTGAGTTCACGTGTGAAAGACTGCAACACAGTATGCAGCTAACTGATGCCATATTTAGTTCAATAATGAGACAGACGTAATTTTTCCTTGCTTCCTGGCCCTGCACATCATCCTGCACATTACCACAGACTGACTTCTTCCAGAATCCAAATTAGCCCATTTAAACATACTTGGATATTCACAGTAGTGCAACACAGCCTCATATTAATTGGGCAGGAGTGTCGATCTGCTGGAGGGTAGGAAGGCTCTGCAGAGGGATCTGGACAGGCTGGATCGATGGGCCAAAGCCAGCTGTATCAGGTTCAACAAGGCCAAGTGCCAACTCCTGCACTTTGGTCACAACCACACCATGCAATGCTACAGGCTTGGGGAAGAGTGGCTGGAAACCTGCCCGGCGGAAAAGGACCTGGGGGTGCTGGTCGACAGCCGGCTGAACATGAGCCAGCAGTGTGCCCAGGTGGCCAAGAAGGCCAATGGTATCCTGCCTTGTATCAGGAATAGTGTGGCCTGCAGGAGCAGGAAGTGATTGTGCCCCTGTACTCGGCACTGGTGAGGCCGCACCTTGAATACTGTGTTCAGTTTTGGGCCTCCCAGTGCAAGAAGGTCATTGAGGTGCTGGAGTGTGTCCAGAGAAGGGCAATGATGCTAGTGAAGGGTCTGGAGAACAAATCTTATGAGGAGCTTCTGAGGAAACTGGGATTGTTTAGTCTGGAACAGGCCGAGGGCACACCTTATCGCTCTCTACAACCACGTGAAAAGGTGGCTGTAGTGAGGCAGGTGCTGGTCTCTTCTCCCATGTACCAAGTGATAGGACCAGAGGAAATAGCCTCAAGTTGCGTCAGGGGAGGTTCAGATTGAATATTAGGCAAAATTTCTTTACTACAAGAGTGGTCAGGCATTGGAACAGGCTGCCCAGGGAAGTGATGGGGTCACCATCCCTGGAGGTGTTCAAAAAACGTGTCGATATGGCACTACAGGACACCGTTTAGCAGGCATGGTGGTGATACGCTGACAGTTGGACTTGATGATCTTAGAGGTCTTTTCCAACCTTAATGATTCTATGACTTTTAAATGCTAAGTCAAAAGACAGAATTTAGGATCCTAAAATCTTGAAACCCATTAGCTTATTTAAAGAGGCAATACATTCAGCAGACAACACTGCAGGCATTCTACAAAAAACATACTTTGGTACCAAAACAAAGCAATAAATAAAAAAAGGCACCTTATTTAGGTCTGGATGAAACATACCTGCTCTTGCACTAGTAATGAAGTTTTTTGTTCCGAAGACTCTCTGCTTTCTGACTTTGGAGGATTTGCATTTTGTTGCATTCCAGAACTTGATATAATACTTAAGTCACTGATCTGATTCTAGGGGAGGAAAAAAAAATTAACACAAATACATGAGTTTTAAGTCTACATTTATCCACTCCTACAATCCTGTTCACATGGCACTTTCACTGAAATACAGATAATGTACAGAGTACCGATGCTTGTAAGACACTGAAATTCACAAATTTTAGGAAATAAAAGTCATACCAAGACATCCACCATCTGGTATGTTTTCATAAAGCTTTTACTCTTTATTATTAAAAAAAGACAACTGGCTTCAAAATTTTTTCACTAAGAAAAAAAAGGTATGCTTTTCACATCCTTGTCACTGACTTATTTCCACCAGACTGAATTAACCATGTACATGTATTTTCAGAAGGTGTTAATTTGGTTTTCTGTGAATAAGACAAAAAAAAGACCAGTGTTGCATTATAACAGACAGTATGATTACAAATCGAGTTGACATTCATCTTTAATAAGAACATACATAAACTAATATAAATTTTATTGCAGTTTGAATCACCAGTAAAAAAAAACTGTAGAACAGTCTAGCTTTCAATAGCTACCGTATTTTATGCATATAATATAGCTGAACATCCACACAACACATGATGATTGCTCTGGTCACTTAGCCACAGCAGCAAAATATGGGTTAAACTTTTTAGCAACAAGTTAAAAAAGAATCTGAGCTTCACTTTTTTTGCTTTCAATTTCAAATTGAAAGCAATAAATACAAAATCAAGACTATACATTGTGATTTAGGGACAGAGGCAAGAAGCAAGTTCTCTTCCATCTTTCCAACTTTTAGCCACTAACTTGAAATTCAAAACTCTTTGTGCCTGAAATGCTGGATGCCTTGCGGTTACAAAAGTCAGACAAAGAATAGTTTTCTTTTCACTAGAGGATGTTTTGATGCTCATACTGAAACATACACACAAAACACTACGCTGTAAAAAGCATCCATTTACTTCATTAAAAAAAAAAAATCTCAGAATTCATTCATTTTCACATATGGATTTGATGTAGCGAGTACTTCAAGGATTAAGCTGATTTGGAATCCTAGATTAAGTCACTCAGACCTTCATAAATCTCTTTTTCACTCTCTCTGCCCCCTTCTCGTGCTGACACTCTGCCAATCTCATGTGGGCTGCACACAAGGATTACTGTATGATCCATCTGGAATGTACCAGGCAGATAAGTACTTTCTGCTCCTAAATACAAATTCATGCATAATTACTGAGTGCCATAAAATAATTTGAAAAAAAAAAAAAAAATCAAGACAGGAAAGGTCTTTCAAGCAGCCATCTTCAAAACAAGTTGGTTACCTAACCATGTTAACATTGACACACCTCGGCTACAAGGAGTTCCAAAATTAACATGCCAGAGGTTTGTTGCTAAAGCCTAGGTGGTCAAGAAAACATTCTCCAAAGAAGTTTGCTTGAAATGTGACGAATATTGCTCAATTCTGTTTATCTGGCAAATTCTACATAACTACAGTCACAGCAGGCTATGGGACTGTGTTCAACAGATTCAGTTCACATATACACACAAAAAGGAAATTGAATACTTATTCTAGTTTTACTAGTGTTCTAAAAGCATCAAACACACACACACAATAACAACAACTAATCAAGACACAAAATGCCCAATTATACAGTAGCTCAACTGTAGTCCATGCCCTACATAGTTCCCTACTGTATTACAGGCACCAGACATCAACTGTCCATCACAGAATCTGCATACCAGTGCCTGTTTACCAGTATTTTACTTGTCTGCAGAAGCTGTTCCATGATGCTCAGGAACTTCATTTCTAGCAAAAGCTTTTCAGTACTCTCACATGAAAAAGATTTGAAAATTTGGAGAGAAGAAGCTGGAATATCCTTTTTGAGTCACTTTTAAGAGCATCTGTTGGAAATATGTATTATCCAATACTGCAAGACCAAGGAGGGACAAAGGCTTCATCACACCCTAAGAGGGTACTACCAAAACAGTGAGTTCTTGTGGTGTATGCTTTCTTTTTTTGAGGGTTTTTTCCCCCCTTCTCAAAAAGCCTTCAGTTTCTTCAAATCTGTCTCAATTGATACAACACTGAAAGATGAGTCATTCAGGTTTTGATGCTTACTTCTGTGCTCTCACAAAAGCTGCTACTTCCACAATGCTGGCCTTTGTACAAAGACACCTTCTCCCCAAACAGCACTGATGCTCAGAGACTCAGAAGCGATTTTTTTTTAATCTAACACATCACTGATTTTCAGAAACTAGTATCTGGCCTGGTCAAATATATTGTATGGTTTGTCACATTCACCTGCCCTCAATCTATGTCAGAAAGTGACAAGTTAAGTTTGCTCATACAGGGCTTAATCCACATGTTCATTCTTTACTCCTCATCCCACACTATACCGTTAACAATTTAGAATCCTACAGAGACTCAAATCCCAAGTACTCAAAGGAACTCTGCTGTAACCTACTGGACAAGCAAGTTCTGGAAGGAATCATGCACTCTACTATGTGCCAAGTCTTCTCCCACCAGTACAGCAACAAAAAACATACCACAGCTCTGCAATGTTATACTCACACACTACTTACCATTGCACATTCTTCTACTACTACACCTGGGGAGAGGCATGTTCAGAATCTTTGTTTCCTTTTTTGGACCTCCCACATATTACCCTTGTATGCATCCTGCATGTATGAATTCAGTCTTCAGGACTGTATGAAATAATTCTTTCCCAAAAGAACTCACTATGTAAACTTGTGAATTCAGAACTGGCAAAAGATACCAGACTCACCCTTCCAAAAATCATTTAATTTATTAAAAGGGTAGACACATAGTAGACAGGACAGGAGTAGTAAACTCGGGAACAGAAGGACAGAGGAACAGTATTGTTATAGTTAGTCTATAGCTATTAAAAATATGGTTCATAGTCTACAAATGTACTGAATGACTAAATCTGTAATCTCTAATACCAGAAGACTTCTTCTGAGACTAAGAAGAGACAGACAGTGTTGGGTACAATTTTTATTTACTATTCATGGAGACAAAATTTTCTCACAGCAGTAGAAATCATTGTAAAATGGGTCTATCAAGTTACATTTCAAGTTCGATCACATGATTGGTAGTCAACCCATCTTGCCTGAAATTAGAGACTTTGCTAGTAAAGTGTACTTAAAGGAGGGAAAAGGACATCAGTCTGAAAAGAAGGCTACTGAAACAATGGCAGTGAATGCCTACTCTTCAAACAAAACATAGCCGATGTGTTAAAAAAAAAATTGTTTCCAGATAGGCTTTCTTAAAAATTAAAAATAATGAAAAAATAGGCAAATAGTTGCCCATTAAGGTAATAATTACAGAGACAAAACCTATAAATTCATGCAACATGCAAATCCCACACCATTTTAAAACACACATTTTTCCCCACATTACCCCTTCTCTCTAAGTCATTGTACATCTGTGCTTGTATCACAGACATGGGATAGTTCCTGAAGTTTCTGGGCTTCTGTTATATTATTTAACATGCCAAAGCATTTTAGCACGCAGCTCAGTGAATGCTCTTGATTATGGCATGGATCATAGCAGATCTCCTCCAGTGACTTGCAGCACAGAGGAAAAGAAAGAAAAACCAAAGTGTCAGGCACTGTAAGGAATATTTACAACGACGGAATTTCAAGATCACAAAACCAGACACGCTCAGTGGTACATTCTTCTACAGTGTTACACATATACCTATTTGTTCATGTTTTCTTTGACACTGATCTCACAAAACAAGATGGTAGATCAATACTGAAATTAAGCAGCCCATGCATGTATGTTAGAAAAATATTTTGTTGTGTCTGTATCTCCAAGTATCTGTTTTTAAAATCATATTTATTCTCCTCAGAAGGTAGCAATTCAAACACAAGAATATAGAGTCGTATTAATTATGGATTAGGTACACTACTTTGTTGTCTTGGGTTAGAGTGTATTGCACAGGACAATTTAGTATATCAGAATTATTCTCTATCACATCTCTCAGAAATCACAGGGTGCTCTATTTCAGTGGACTCCATATGATGTCATAAGCCCCTTATTCATAAGTAGAAGTAGTGTTTTTATTGATCCATAAGGTTGGGGGGGGAGAGGAGACAACAAAAAAACCACAAACAAACAAAAAACTTGAACAGAGATATTTCCTTACTCGTTCATATTCATCCTTGGCTTTACTAAGCATTTCCAGGATGTCAATGGGCCTGTTTTCATTGCAGCCGTTGGTTCTGCTGGGACTTTTTCTGTCCTGGCAAACTTGCTGCGATCTCTGAGCTTCTTGTTCTACCACTCTGAAACAGGAAAGGACAATGAAGATTTTAAAATTTTATCTGGAGTTAACATCTTGTAAAAAGCAGTAAAGAAAAAAGTACTCCCAGCATATTAACACACATATATTATATTTATATAGATATAAAAACCCAACAGATAGTTGACTAGAGTTACACAAGTTTTCATTCACTATAAAGTTTATACAAGTCAAACTGTCAAATGGTCTGTACGATTTCTTCTCCAATCAAGAGAGCACTTGTCTGTCTCTCACAAAGTTTGCTTACAGTAAACACTACTTCTGTAAAACTGTCTTATTTAGACATTTTTACAATAAAATACGTCAACATTCAAGCACATGTTACACAAAGAGCACATGTACTGAGCAAAATAAATTTTTTACTCTTTATTTCCTAACATGCATTTTTTCCATATTTAGCCAAATCAAGCTATGTCATTCAATGAAATGACTTACAAAACAATTCTAATTTAGGATAAGGCCTGCCATTATACAATAAAACAAGGACACTGGGAAGTGTCCACGGGGACACTGGACACAGCTGGCTTATACCAGATGTTTCTGGAGTCAGTCCGCAAGAAGGCTTAGAGCAAGTTACCTCTTACTCGCCCACTTAAGGCTCTGGAAAGAAAGGCAAACGATTTTCTTCTCTAGCTGCCCTGCAGTCATCCAATTACCTGCAGGTCTACAACACATCTTTCCCTCTGGCCTTCAGTGTCTATGGTTCATTTGCCAATTCTACTCTACCCCTACCTGCCTCAAGTATCACAGAATCATAGAATATTATTAAAAAAAAAAGTTTAAAAGATGGTTAAGATATGCAAGATGATGATGTGTACCTGGTACATTTCATTAATAAAAGTAAAGGCAGCATATAGTTCTACTCCTAATCCATACGCAGTTCACAAGATATACATGGCTGTGCAATACACTAAAGCTTATCCTCTTGAAATAAACACACACCAGCCTGTAATCCCTTCTTTTTTTAAGCCTGCATTAATCAAATATGTTAAGAAAAAACAAGCACTGTAAACAGGGCAGAGCTCTGGAGCTGGCACGTCAGTTGAACTCTCATGCTGTGGAACTGATGGCTGATGGGGGAGCCAAGAGGTGCCATCACAACAATCACAGAAAGTGTCAATCATTCCAGCCTCCAGTTTCTTTGGGTCAGTTTGGATTCAGAAGTAACTCTAGATTTTTATAGACTGTAGAGCAATGAGGTATATGCACCTCTATATTGCCATTTCTGAGGAAAAAAAATAGTTCTAGTCTTAGAAGTTTCTTCCCAGTTTTCTAGCAACCAAGCCTCTTTACTTTACTAGAGTTTAGCTGTGTTTATTTGAAGAAGGGTTTGATTTGGCTTTTAACAATTCAATGTTGCTTTCAAAATTGCTTTGGAAATTTTTAATCGTACAAACTGCTTATTTAACCAGCTTCTCATTATTAGTACAGCTTTCTCTGCTTGTAAGCAAGCACTCGCCTCCAAATGCAACTCAGGATAGGAAGGCCAATCTCCACTCTCCGACAATGGCCAAGAACTGCATCTTGTGCTCGTTTGGACGAAGCAGCTCAATACTGTGCAAATGTTTCTATGGAGACACCCTGAGAGAACATTTTGTCCTAGCACCTCACGTGGTCATACAGTCCTGACTTAGGACTTATCTAAATTCAACTCCAAAACTAGGGGTGAGAAAGGGCAAGGTAAAAGCACCAGAACACTTTGCTGAGATTTTAAGTATCAGCATAATTGTGTCAGAAAAAAAATACTTCAGTTAGGGGAAAATTCTGGACAGCTGAAGTCATGCATGTGCAGCCTGATAGGTGAAGCAAAGGCTTCAGTCTTGAGACCCTCCTTCTGCTTTTAACTAGTTGGTCCAGCAGGTTTCAACAAAACATCTTCCCAGCAACATAGCACTAACTAGTCTTGCAGCAAAACATCATCAGGGAGTACATCCATTTCACAGAAACGTTTCACAAAGATTTCTGAAAAACATTTAGTAAGATTTTTCTATTGTCCATTATGAAGTATTTGTAACCTTTTAAAGTTTACATTTTTTTTTTTTTGAAGAGTAACAATTAAATTATCTTCTCATGTAGGTAACTAACAGCTCTTCCTGCACCTTCTGTCTTGTGCAGCTTACATTCAGATGGTGGTGAAGGGGTAACTGTGGAACAGTATACTCCCAAAACCGTCCGAGATACTAGCAGCAAGCTAGAAGTGGGAGAGTATCTTAGAAGCCAGTTTGGGTCTCACTGCTGAAACAGGGTAAAACAAGCCTATGAACTAACATAAAAATAAAAAAAACCCAACAAGTTTACATGCCAGAGTGCAATAGTTTCACAAAGATTTGAAAAAGCCTAGTTTCTGTCCTACTTGTAGAAAGTTCATACCTCAATCAGCTTGACTTGACCCAAATTAATTCTTTCTAAAGTTAGCAGTTTGATGACTCCCATAATTTTTTTTTTAAAATTCAGAAAATTCTAGAATTCTTTAAAAAAAAAAAGTTCTGTAAATCAAATACCTTTGCTGGGGAAAACAGTCAACTAAAGCAAATCTGTACACTGAGCATGCTCTGTGTGCAATCCAGGATTAAATCTTTTTTAAGCAAGGCCTGCTGTTTCTTTCCATTATATCAGACAGTGGAAGAGGCACATATTCCCTCGGGGACACAGTAGCTGCTGTGACAGTTTGCTTCAGAATATTTACACTTCGAGCATTGAAAATATACCTGGCACAACCTCACAGGAGGAGTGTAGGGAGCAGGGGGAAAAAGAGAGAGAGAATGTGAGAGGTGAAGTCTGCGATTACAAAGCCCACACTAAAGCTAATTTACTTTTCTTTTAAAGATAAGCCACCAAAATATAAATGGATGGCCTGCAATCTTGTTAACTCAGTCTGGCACAATAAGGTCAAGCCAAACAGCAGGAAAGAGAATGCAAATCTCCCTGAAACCTTTTATGGTTATGTTTTTGAAGCTCTTATATACTATAAAGGCAGAACTCTTTCCTATCAGTGATAAAAAAGACCCCCACGAAAGTGTGCCAATCCAAATTTCCACCCAAGACAAAGACAAAAACTACGGAACAAAATTAATACTCTTGGAAGACAACATAAATATATATTTCAAAACATACTGAGCTAAGCCTGATGGAGCCTGCTACTATAAGCTGAAATGCAGCTTTCCTTCTCCAAGATGCAATTTTATTTTTTAAATTTAAAAGTATATTTTAAGTTTTCTTAAATACATCTTTCATCCCAGGATGAAATAATTCCTGCAATTTCAGCCTCCGTCTTGTAGAGAAGCACACAGAATTATCAGCGTTTTTGCTTTTCTTCTGACGGCCTTCTACCCATTTTGGGGGAGAGAAAGCTTGATGTTTGTGGAAATGGATGTCAGCAAAATAATATCAATCTGTTTTTCATCAAGTTTGTAACAACAGCCTCAGAAGTGCAGCTTTTCCATGCTACGGTAACGTGCAACTAAAAAGCCTTCATTTTATTTTCCCTAATATGAATCTTTAGATACTCAGAATCTGTAAGGCATGTGGTACCAAATGAAGTGTGATTTCATTTCACAATGATTTTTCAACAAATTAGTAAGTATACTTACACTTTCTCAGTATAAAAACAGCTTCTCCAAATACTTTTGATAGCCCCAAACCAATACACAATTTTAAAGGAAAAAAGAACTGGAAGCATTCAGACATTCCACAATCTAATAATGAAGAAAGGCGTTATAAACAGCACTCAGATAATGAAAGACTTATTACTAGCAGTACTTACACTAGCAAAGATCACTTATACCTTTTTTTACCAAGTTAATGGCAGCCAAGACTAAAAATCATACTAAAGTGAGGTCCTAGCCAGCTCAACAAAATTTAACTGTATTCTGTGAATATCCAATCAATAAATCTTTAGGTACACATTTGATTTCTCTAGTTTCACTTGCATAAGTCTCAAGTGACAAAGCTCAATACATGTTCCCCAAAGTCTGCTTGATGCATTAACTCTAATTTCCATTTCAAAGATACTCCTAATCCACAGTCGTTCCAACACCTATCATAAAAAAATCCAACATTCAAAAAAATACATTTCCACTTTTTGACCTTTCAAAGTAATTTGTAATCTCAGAAACTTTCTAGGGTGCCGAGATATTACAATTACAAGAGTGTGTGAGTATCTCGCCCATTAACAGAGGCAAAACAATAATGCCAGCTTTGGCACTTCTGCCTGTGTGTTAAAGCAGCTGCAGTACAGGCATCGGGGACCCAAGGAAAGGCAGGCTACAGTAGTTTACAAAGCAGATGACAATAAAGCTTTGACCATTCCCAGACTGACTTTAAATCAACCTACTGGGTTACAGTTATTCCCAGAATATTACAGAACTCAGCAAAAAGGGTAGATGTGCTTTATGGACTGCTGAGCCATGGCTAGACTGGTCTGTTACCTGATTACACTGAAGTATCTATAGCCCGTGATTTGTGCTATAGCGACTAGTTTATTACTAAATGAACTCAAGTTTGCTACACGACATTTAGATCTGCAGTACAGCTGTGCATGACAGAATAAGAGTATGGTAGAGTTTGAAGGATTCCGCTCTCCCCCCCACTGCAAACATTAGTCATAGTTTTAAATTAAAAGGTGCTTTAAAACATGAAAACCTTGCTGTTCTGATGCTCTGCTTATAAAGCAGAGAGGCAACTGACATTTTATTTGTTTGGGTAACAATTTCTGAGAGTCAGTTTCACACAATTGTTTTCCATTAATCATTATAATTAATCCTCATATTTAGACAAGCCAAATAACAGCAAAAAGTCCAACAGAGCTGGGGAGAAGAAAAAAAAACAAACATGGGAAACTGTACAGGATTATCAGGATGAGAGAAAAAAAAGTAAGAATTTAGAAAGAGACCTTGATATCAAGTCTTGTCATGTGTGTTGTCTTACATTGCTTCTGTGGGGGAAGCCAAAATAACCCAAAACAAAAATCTCAGAATAAGATATTAGCATCCAGCTTAAAATGTCTACACTATGACTAGTTTCCATATAATTAAGTTTTGCCAGTCTTCAAGATGTTCTGACTTGCAAGACATGACATGGTGATTAAGGCATGCAATAAAAAAGAAAGTTCAGGAAAGCCGAGTGTGATGAAGAAAAGCAGAGAACTAGGGATGAGAAGATATCCCATGCAATACATACACTAGCAAAAATGCAGAACTACCCTGTCACACACTTCAAGTTCCTTCCCCTTGTAAGAACACTGAAGATTTGTTTAATGCTCATCCTTTTCTATCAGTAAGAAGTCTTGACTTAATCTGCAAGGCCTCATCTGAAGGAACAAAAAGGTGCAAGAAAACCCTCCAATCACAAGAAGTTTTAAAGACTTTATGCCACATTGCCAACTCAACCAGTTCCAGCCTTCTTTGACCTCTGTTGTTCACACAAACTTCTGTACTCTAGTCTGAAGCCCTCCTGAGCTGTGGCAGGGCAACCATGTACAGTACAGATACATTAACCATATGGCTACAGCGACAGCAGCTAAAACCAGCTAACAAACCCATGTTATTGCAAACACAGTCTTTCAAGATTGCTTTAAATTGAGATCACTTCAGAAATTCTCCTGCTGCATGATATCTTAGAAGCCCTTGGAACCACAAGATAATAGCAAGTGACATGGTAGCTTTATAAAGAAACTTTATCTCCAATGCAGAAAAAGAAAGAAAGAAGTAAAACAAAAATCAAACAATCCAGAATTGGCAACAACAAGCTCCCATTATTTCATAGTTCTGCTTACTCTCCTAACATCACTTGAATTCTATAAAATTCCACCTACCTCTCCCACTATTCTCCAATCTGTTCACTTCAGTCGGGAATAACAACTAAGCCTTAAAAAAACCACACAAACCCAAACAAAAACCAGTACACCACCAAACAAATCACAAACCCAACAAAAAAATGTAGCCATCATTTATTTGATTACACTTTCTGCATCAGAGGGTCTTCTGCCAGCATCCCTATACAACATGAAACGTAAAATAAACACTGTTTATACTTGCTTTCTTTGGAGCATGCTAATACTTGAACTGACTTTTTTACCACTCATGAAAATTTTGATGATGTAGTTTTTAAAAAAACCAAACATTTTGATTACTAAAAAATACAAAGAACCAGCAAGAACCTTGTATTTTTCTATTTAAGGAGAGTGAGAAAAAAACCAAACACATTTAATAGGACAAATAGGGTCAATATTTTTTTCTGTATTGCATAAAAGAATTACAGAATAAGACCACTGTACTTACTTAGCCATGAGTTTTGCTATTCGATGACAGTCATTCTTGTCGTAAAACCAGATACTGTAAATTGACACTTGAAAAGAAGAAAAAAGGCAAGTGTAAGATGAATTAAAAAAAATCCATAGGAAAAAAACAGAAAATCAGCAGTCCGTTAGATCTGCAACATATGAATTACCATCAATTTCCAATCAAATATTTTGTGTGTGACTGACTACTATTTATAAAGCAATGAGAGATTGCACATGTGCAAACACAAATACAACTTCAGTCAGATTAAATGCAAGAACTACAAAATGTTGATACTGTTTATAAACAAAAGTGGCAGGAAAATGAAGTTTAACTACCAGATGCCTTCTTACTACAGTTGTAACCCTCTGTTTTGAATTACTGACTTTACCATTTAAACTAGGCTAAATAATAGCCATGTTTTTTAAAAAACTCATTTTTAAATTTGTCAATTTTTGAAGCTCAACAAAAATAGTAAAGTTTGAATTACAGTATGACAGTTCAGTCAGATGCTCTATGGAAGGTTCCCTCCCCAAATTCTTTTCATAATAGAAGTAACTATATAGGTAAAATTCCACTGAAAGTTGGCAGAGTTAGAGCCCGATGACTGAGCTGAAAGACACTCCGACAGAGGGAAACTTTGTCCATAGTACCATGTACCATTTCTTCATCAGCAACCCCACTTCAAAGAGGCCATTTTTTTAACCAACACACATACTCATCACCTTACTGTCCCCACAGTTGTGCCAACGCCACAAATCTGCAGAACTCTTCAGAATTTTATTTAATCCAACCCACAAAAGCAGGTTATTTTAAATCTTCGTTCACCTATGAAGTTTGTCAATGCACAGTGTGCAAATACATCAAAGGCCATTAGACACTTCACGTATGTTACCATTAAAGTATTTTCATTTCTGAAAAGACACTTTTAGCCTTTTAAAACTCATCTTTATACTGCAGTTCATGCCAACATTTTTATGAAGTTGAATTCGCCAGTTATAAAAATATGACTTAAAGTGAAAGAATGTTTAACCCCCCCCCAACACATAGCCTTTTCCAGCCAGATGCAGACTTTTATTTCAAAGCGAAATCCTCCCCCCCCTTTTTTTTTTCTCCTCCTCAAAACATTCAAAAATCTCAAGCAAAGTCCAGTCAAAATTATTTCGAGCCATGGCAGAGCGGACAATTATTTACCAAACTTTTCCCCAGACCTTCTAGTTGTCCTAGGCTTACTGTTTTGGACCCAAACCCCAAAAAGTCATGCCTACACTTAATTTCTACAGCAATATCCTAAGACAAACTGAAGATCTACTTTGCTTCTTTTTTTTGTTTTATTAAAAAACAACTGTATTCATTTGGGTGTTTGTTTCTTTAGAAGTTACAGCTTAAATGATAAACAACAAAGCTTTTCAAGTTATAAGCAAAGAAATCAATACAGCAGAATTTAAGGAACTTTTTTCTTATGAAAGGCATAAGCCAATAAAAAAAGCATTTCATACATCTCATCAATGCTTATGAAATATTAATATATACAGTTTAATACAACTGGATTGTCTACTGCACAGAAACCTGAAAATGTTTCCAGTCTGAGCTACTACTTTAGTCATGTAGCGTATTTGAACACTGAAGAAAAACTCTTTTTTTTTTCTTCACTGTCAGACAAACTGCCAAGAGAAGAAAGCTTCTTCAAAAGCATACTTGCTGAAGAAATGAAGATAAGGAACCTATAATGATATCTTAATGGGACAAATGACGCGAGTCACACTCAATTCTGCCAGAAACAGGCCTACACAAGACCAGAAGTAGATCCAAATCTCTGTTTGGTGTACAGAGCATCAGGCTTTTTTCCACTTTGTACTACTGGCAAGCAATCATAGGGAGTCACTGCAGGACATTAGCAGTATTACAAAGATGTACAGCAGATTATGAACAAGTAAACTCAGGCATTAACTTAGATATGGTCCAACAGGCCGGAATGTTTACCATCCTCTTTTCAAAAGAGGACTCATTTGTACTATCAGTTCAGCTCCCTTGCCCCAGAAGTATATGTGTGTGTCTCAACTGTGTTACTATATCTGATATATTTCATACATGCAACTTTAGCTATTAATATCCTTTTATTCAAAACAGACTTCACAGAGAATCACAGAATGGTAGGGCTTGGAAGGGACCTCTGTGGGTCATCTAGTCCAACCCCCCTGCTGAAGCAGGGTCACCTACAGCAGGCTGCACAGGACCTTGTGTCCAGGCGGGTCTTGAACATCTCCAGAAGGAGACTCCACGCCCTCCCTGGCCAGCCTGTTCCAGTGCTCCGTCACCCTCAGAGGGAAGAAGTTCTTCCTCATGTTCAGACGGAACTTCCTCTGCTTCAGTTTGTGCCCGACGCCCCTTGTCCTGTTGCTGGGCTCCACTGAAAAGAGTCTGGCCCCATCCTCCTGACACCTGCCCTTAAGATATTTATAAGCATTTATAAGATCCCCTCTCAGCCTTCTCTTCTTCAGGCTGAACAAGCCCAGCTCCCTCAGCCTCTCCTCGTAGGAGAGATGCTCCAGTCCCCTCATCATCCTCGTAGCCCTTTTGAAGCCATGCTTTGAACTTAGTCTGCCCTTTCAAGGTTTACATTTGGAAAACCAAGTCACCATTCCCAGCACCAACCTCCAGTGATCACTACAAGAACACCCAGGGCAGGGTTTCAGGACCACCCTTGAGTATTCAGCCTGCTCCAGGAGCTTTCCAGACCCCACTGCAAGGCCCAGCTTATCCCAAGCTCAATTATTCCTGCTCTTGCTGCACTGCTATGGAGCAAATACACAGCTGTGAATGTTACAGACCTAGCTGAAACCTGGCAGCCTTCAGAGTCCATTCACTCTAGGACTGCATTTTTGCTCGCCTTTTTCTTGATAGTTTTTATACTTGTTTTGCAACTTGAAGTGGCTTTTCCAAATACAGTCCACAGCACAAGCCCACAAGCAGTTGCATTGGAGTAATTCAGCAGGTGTAAAGAACATTCAAAATGAGGAATACTTTAACAAACTGCTCGCTGATAAAGTATAGTGTGGAGTGAGAAGGATTCCTACTTTGCAGCACTGAACCAGAGCAGAAAACCCCTTCTAGTTAGAGTGCTATCTTTCAGGTCAAACAAAATATTTTTAGAACTTCCTAACAGCTTTCAATGGTTCCTCCCCTCCCCCTAGCTTGCATTGCTGCTTCTGCTATAAAGGTATCAAGAACAGGCTCCTTATCTTAGACTAAACCACCGGGTTAATGCGCTTGCTGGAGAGCCATTCAGCTTCAGCAATTAGAGAGATATGTTGTACTTAGTGCATTACCAGTCGGGAGTGAAGGTGATAGTGAGAGACTTTCCTTACCAGTAGAGATGCCCTGTTTTGAAACAAGTCAGGAGCTCTTTCAAAGAATTTTAAAAGCCATTTAAAATAATGCAAATCATTTTGCTTCTGCTGTTATGAATACAAGTTTGTTTAATTAATGATAATACAAGCCCAGAAGACAACACCTTGTAACTGAGTTTTCCACTTAAACATATAAACCTCTCCAAAATCCATTATTTTTGTTTTACTGACTCTTACCATTGGACAGGAATAAGCAAGCAAGAAAAAAAACAAAACAAAAAACCCACACCAAACAAGGACCATTTATAGTAATACCCAAGTTTTATGCTTAAGCATCTGTCTTTTCAGCACCATGGAAATCAACCTGCCTGATGTCCCAAGTGATGCAGCTTGGATTAGAAAGCCTTTTAATCAAGACCAACGCCACCAATACAGAGGGAAAGTTATAAATGAGAAAGACTTAGAAGAATACTTCCTGCAGACTTTAAGAGGTAAGTTAGCCATTGTTTAAAACTTCCACTAATTTTCCTCTATTATTAATCAAGCTATGAACTATCAGCTCCAAATTCTCACATTACAGATTGAAAGAAAGTACTGAACTTTCAGTTATTGTTACTGGCAGAACTGTATGCATTTTTTAAACAGTTTAACATACTCCTCACAAAATACAAACAAGACGAAACAAGCTTAAGTTCATTAAAAAAATAGGTCAATGGGATTCCACGCTTCATGAACAAATACTCTGAATATTCTAAAGAATGTGCATGCGTCCCGAGGAAAAGTTAAAGGATCAAATGTACCTAGCAACACATATTCCAGATTAAGCAATAATAAATAGCACATTAAGTATCAAGTATAATCTAAAAAATTCTACCTTTTAAAAGGAATTCTAGATTTCAAATATGTTACAGTACTGAAATGAAAAAAAATTGTTTGACTTAATTTCTTGATTTTTTCACATTTGGGGATATTTGCTTTCTTTAATTTTCTCTAACAATGAAAAGTAGAATACTTTTTTTTCTAGTTACCACTGTAACTGGTATAACATCTTGCAGCTGCTTAATCACACCCCTGTCATTTCTGCTTTAGCATCTGATGCCTTATGAATAAATGGTGAGAGTTTTTGGGCAACATTATATATAACTTTTAAAGTAGACATAGCCTTCCTCAAATTTTGGGTTTAAGTATTCTTTTGGGGCTTGAACTATATTATGTAGCCAGAATGATTTTGAGAAAAAAAAACAAAGCCTGGAGCTGGGAAAGATTTCCCCACTAACAGCTGGAATATCAACATGGGTTTTTTTTCGGGAGGTGGGGGGGTGTTGGAGTGCCTGTACACGTGTTACATCTAAGCAGAATAACAAATTGACCTAAATGTCTTCCATTTGTATACAACAAAAGGCAGATATAACAAAGGTACTTATCACTTTGTCTATTCTCCTTCCAGAACACCCATGAAAAACTCCTTCATATCCCACCCTACAAACACAGGGGAAAAGCCCCCAACAACTATGAAAGAATAAACAAAAATAAAATGGCAATTACCTAGTCTCGTTCTAAGAGTATGAAAAAGTCTTTGTGCAATTGGATAAAGGATCTCCTGTCTATAGCTTAACAAAAGTAAGTTCTGATATGCAGCAAACCAGAAATTCCATTGTACATTAAAAATAAGTATTTGAACAAACCAAACTATAAACAAATGATAAAACCCATGAAAAATATCAGGATCTAGCATAACAGGCAAATCATTCTTACAGTATCCAGCCAAGCAAAAATAATGCTTAAAAGCTACTTGCAAAGTCTCCTAACTTGTTAGCTGCTCTGCATAGACTGGAATACATCACTTGATATACTCAGAACAGCTCATACCATGTAAGACAGAAGTGCCAGAGGTCTGGTATACGTAAGAAGATAACAGGGGCAAGGTCTATTAAGTCAAGACAGAATCCCAGAACAAAGTGAAAATGTGAAGTTTATAAAACAGTAGTATGATATTCAGCTATAAAGATTGTTGACATGGAATCCTCCACGAATATGCGCTGGCATAATTTTGCTTTGATCATCTTCTGCCATTCCCCGCGGAAGTGTAAACCGCCATTTGTCACTGACCCTGTCACAACCTAAGTATACAGGCATAAAATATATTTGTCTCTGCCAAACAGCAGTATTATTAAACATAATTAGGTGTTTATCAGGGTAGTCTGAACCATTCCCCATCTGTAAGCTAAGGAAACAGAATCACCAGTTCAACCATTCAGCAGTCTTAGCAAGAAAACTTACACTTCAGAGGAGTTTCTAATGATCACAGCTGATTGCCTCACGCACAACATAAAAAAATCCCACTCTACAAGAAACATAGTGTTGGCAGCAACAGTCCTAAGAGGCATATTTTCCTTGCACTACACCTAGCTGTTCATCCTCTTTCAGTCATTAAAGGATCTCAGAAGAGCTTCTCATTAAGCCCTTAGAGATAACCATTAGATTAACCATTGGCTTAAAACTCCTATTAGAATCAGTCACAAAAATGCAAAGGTTTTTCATGCCAGCAGGCAGCTGAGCAGAAGTGGACATCTCTCTGCATTAAAAGAACTTGTACAAGAATCCCCTAACCTACCCATATATATAAAACATATACATGTTGAAATTTGTCTGCAAATCCAAATCAATCCTGAAGGGTTTTTTCAATTTTTTCTTTTAAAGTTTCACAAATACTATGCAGACAGAGACAAACAGATTTAACATTGAATATTTAAATCATAATGTTTTCTTCTAACTAGCTCAGGGGACAGAGGTCAGAAAACTTGGGAAACCGCATGCAAAAGAAAATCCAAACCACAACAGCTAAATGCAAAACATAAGGGAGTTAGCAGTGCTGAAACTGTAAGGAATAAAAAGCTTAGAGGCCATTTTCTATGCTTTTAAGCTTGTATTTGAACAAGATGAACACTAGTAGAGCACACAAAAACTGATCTGCTGCTGATTTGTAGCACTCAGGGAAATAACTAATGACACACTAACTTCATTGAACATTTTCAATTAGTAATCAGTGTAGACTGTTTCTGGACATGCTACCACCCTCTTCCAGGAGGCAGGACAGAGTGACGCAAAAAAAGGATAGTTTCCAACCAAAGTCTTTTAAAATGACAATGGGAAAGATATAATGGGGAAAAAATACTCTTGATTATTTCAGAATGCAATTATATCCCATATCCAGTCTATAATATCTTCCCTCGCTCACCTTTGTATGAATTCCTTCCTTCCTTCCTCATACTTGTCTATGTCATCTCCATCCCAGCTCCCACAGATCTTACACAATAGGGTCCCATAGGAAAAGGGGAGCTTTTATCAACGAGAGAAAGGCATGTAATTAGCTTCAGGGGTTTCTAATGAACTCACACACAGACTACCTTCTCTGATTGCTTCCTTCAAGTGATCCTCTAGTCACTCCCACTAGCATTCACCATGGTAATTCCACAGCACCTCCTGCTTCCCTATACTATCAGCATTTCCAACAAACCAATCAACTTCCTGCTTCCCTTACGTCACCAATCTCACAACTGTAATTCTTTCCTCTGCTGCCACCTCACCAGCCATCCTACCCCCACCACCATTATCTACAGCTCCTCTTCCTTCCAAACCAAGCAACCCGCCCAAACATCCAACTCAATGTGGTATTTTCTTCCCCCTCCCAATTTCTTGCCAGTCATTTACTTCCCTAATCTCCTAGACTACTGACAAGTTTCGACTTTTTCCTCTCGATGACACTTAGAGAAGGAGGATTGCTAAGACTACCAAACAGAGAAGACTACCTACCTTAAGCTGTTCTTTGTCACCATAATGGAACCTATCCTACTCCCCACAGATCCTAGAGGCTTTCCACGGCGGAAACAGGAAGGGATTAACATTTGACTGTTCTTTTGGGTACGCTGAGGCATAGCCAAAGCAGTGTTCTTAATCTGTAATTCAAGGGGACATTCTGATAGGAAGAAGACATGGTGTTGAGGAAGTACTGTATCCAGAGAGCATACAGGTCCTCCAAGTAACTCAGCAAGGAGAACCTTTTGCTAGACAGCTGCAAACTAGTTTCAAGAATTTTGCCTAGAAAAGAGGACATGAAAGAATATCTTTGCATCAGGACGACCCTCTGCTCTGTGGGGTGCCTTTTATTTATATACTTAAGTAACACGAATTTAATATACTCCACTCTTTAAGGGCTAAATAATTTATACTTTGAGCTCTTTGCAGTGACAGTATTGTTAGTGCATACCTAATTTGAACATAGTACACTGGGACTCTGAAGGTTGACTGATGACTCAAAACACTAGTAGAATTCAAAAAGCAGCAAGAAGATATGACTACTATTTTACCACTCATCTGTGTAATGAATATCCCAACACCCAGACTTGCTGGAGTCTAGACTCCAGGAAATTTAGTATGGACATCTATCTCCCGAGTCCGAAATCTATTGTGGAAATAGAAACCATCAACCTAGAGATGAGCAATCTTCTCAACTTCTTCAAGAAGCTACTGATTAATACTCAAATTTTCACTTGCAAAAGAGGAAGCCCTTATAACTGTCCTTGGTGTTAAATTATTTCACAATCTATCAATCTTCACTATTCTTTCATAGTTTTTTATTAATGCTATAGCATTGTGTATACGTTTAGATAAACCTATCATATCATTAATTAAAAAGAATACAGTACTATTGAACTTTGTTAGTATATCCTGCTTCTTTTGAAAGCAGGTGGTCATCATAGTATAATACCACAACTATAGAAGTAAGTCTAGCACTGTAAACAGAAAACGTCATTAGACATTTCACTGGAACACGCCCCATTACATTATACTTGAAACAGACATCACAGTAATCAGAAGTGGTGTAGGTTGTAAAACAGCAGTTTATACAGATTAAAGAAAGTTATACTCACAGCTAGCATTTCTGTAGAGAAGAAAGGGTTCATGGAGCTGAAACTCCAAATCTTTATTTACTGGTTCAACCAGGTTATGCATGTTCAGTCGATTCACTATCGTAAAACCATGATAAGGAGAAGCTGACCTATTGTTTCAATTAAAACAAAGACAAGGATTAATACCTTGATCAGCATATACAATTTTCTGAAACACAGTTATGAATTAATCTTCAAATCTCCACTGCTTTATTAGCTGAAGCTTTAGCAGTTCTGAAGCTCTAATAGTTGTTCTTCTATGCAATTTCTTGGCATGCCAACTAATTTCAATTTAAAACTGCACTTACCTCAAAGCAGGATTACCATTACAGTTCTACACTGCTAAACTGCTGACTCAAAGATTTGCCTCAAAAACGTCTATTAAAAAACAAACTAGGGTAGGTGCAGGATTAAAATGCAACTGTATTCAATACTTCATGTAAGACAGTTTTGAGGCATTTTAGAATCTTTTATTATAGGAGAAAAACCAAACCACATAAGAAACAACATTTACTTTATCGTAAATAGGTATGACAATAAGAGCTGTTATCTTAAGTAACATGAAATACACTTAGAGGGTAACAAGAAGCAGCAATTTCTTCTGAAAGGGAGACTCTTAAAATAAGACCTAACTCAATGTCCTCAAAGTAGATATTATTCAGAATTGTACTGCTGAGTGGAACATTTTTTATTTTCTAGATTTTTGCTAGACACCACGTGGAAAAAGAAAACATCAAGCAAGCAAGCACTGGAACTTACAGATAGTTTTAAAGCTTTTTCTCTTGCTGCATGAATGTCATGTCAGCATACTCAACCATGCCTGTAAGCAGTCACATCATCAACAGGGCAGCATGATGAAGGCAGCATGAAAATCAGATATAATTAGCTACTAAGAGCTGAGATTTCTGTAACAATGTGGCCACCTCTACTCAAAGATCGACAACAAAATCTGTCAGGAGCTTCTAAGGAGGGGGCAAAAACAATCCTTACCATCATGAATTAGTCTTTTAATGCATCTAACAGGACTTGTTTGAAATAAGCAGCCAGTCACAAGGAAACTTTTTGCTTAGTTTTTTGGGTTTTAGTTTGGTTGGCTTTCTTACATTACGTATTTCCAAGCTTGGAGCTAAAGAAAAGTAGGCAGGAACTGGTTACTAGTATCCCTTCACAGTGCCAGGATAAAACATTGTAATGACCTGCTCTATGGCAGTCTGTTTCAGGGTGGATTAAGTCTGCATTATTTATATTTCTTACATTCAACAGAGTGGTATTTAATTGTCAGACTTTTTTATTTCCCTGTAATAGAAAACTTAAGTCCATGACTGGCTTCATGTGCTGTTTTTCCCTCCCGCTTCTTTCCCCCATCCCACGTAACTGGAAAAAGAATAATGGTTTTGAAGAGGAAATCAAGTAGCCCCCAAAACTATACACCAGCAGATCTCTAGCTATTAGGCTACTTCATCCATTTACAAAACTGTCAGGAAGTTGCAGAGATTAAGTTAAAACAGATTATTTAATTTGTCATCTGTATTGTTTTCATAATCAACTTTATGGATTTTAGAAGACAAAGAAAGACTCAGCATTTAACAAACTCAACACATTAACAAATGCTACTGGATTAACAAAATAAGCTCGATAAACAAGGTTTTTGTGTGGATACATATGCAGTGTTTGTCAAGTTTGATGATTTTTCAGCAGTATTTTAGGTGAACAACTGTCAAAAGCACTTACGTGCAGAGTTTATTCTTTTCAAATGACTATACAGATGTTAACAGTTAGACAAACACATAATTATGAGTTTACTGGATGCAGTAAATCCAGTACGAAAGCTACATGTGAAGCCACCTGAGGTTTGTTTTCTTAAGGAAGGAAAACCAAGAAAAAAAATCCTAAACACAAAACCCCCTTACCTTTTGTACACAAACAAGGTCCCTTCTATGTCCGTTTTCTCCTACAAAAGACACCAATTGCATTTAGGGGATATTCTTGTACACACACTTCTGTAGTTTTTGTATAGCACTTTAGTTACAGATATTTACAATATTTTCATCTTTCCATGACGTTTGCATCATAGGACTGAAACCACGATCTCTTATTTTAAGAAATGACATATTTTTTCTTAGTAAGGTTAGGAAATTAAACCCGTTTTCAGAAGATTTTGTTCGTGCTATCAATCTGATGATGCAATAAACAGTACTCTACAACTTCCCTGCGTCGGAGCTGAACACCTTCCTCATAGCTCCTTACTTGAAAGGCAGGCTGCGCTCCCTCAGCGACAAGCACGGGGCAGGCCGCCCTCCTCGGCCGCGGCTGAACCATGGCGATGACAGCACCGCCAGCAGCAAAACCGCGTATCTCCGGGGCGCGGCCCTGTTCCAGGCTTCAGTTTCCACGGCAAGCCGGAACG